GATAGGCTTCTTTTATCATCATCTTTCCTTTCTGGAGAAATCCCTAGCATCCTCTCGCTCAAACACTGCTTTACCACTCAACAACTACGGCCCCACTAGGATACTGAATCACATGGCACATAATGATGACTCACTACCTCACTAAGTGTTCAAGAAAAAGCTTCTAGAAGTATGATGAGAACAGTGTGGACAGGTAAAAAACAGAATAAATATATCTTTTTTTGTGTGTGATCTGGAGGAGTACAAATTCTTAATCTTCTGGCATTTAGCTCCCATTGGAGCATAGGCAGTATGCTTAGAATTCCTTGGACAGCCAAAAAGAGAGCAACCCAAATGTTTTGAAAGAGGCAAGGACTCAAAGACAACTTATCACAAACATCAGAAAGAGACAGTCATAATTTTTTGGTCATGTATGAGAGAAAGGAAACTGGAACTTGCTGTGACTGCAAAAAAAATATGTAGAAAAACAGATAAAGACAACGTGAGAAGATTACTGACAGCCTTTTGTCATGGCATGCAGGGGTGTCAGCACATAAACCGATACATGCTGTTGGAGAATGCAGATTGTGAAGAGATATGATCGCCAGTTGGCAAGGCACTTGATTATGATGATGAAGGAGCAAAGACCCTCAGCCCACTCACACTAAGCCCTCTCTTCTTTTATTATCTCCTGAACTCCTTCTATGTCCTCCTCATATTATTATTCATTTCTGTCATTAATTCATCATTTTAATATTCAAGGAGACAATTTTAAAGATGTTCTAAGGCACAAGGAGATTAATCAGTGGCCCAGACCACTTACAGCATTTTTCATATGGCATCATACTTCATCTAGGAGAAGTGGTTCCTAATGCTGGCTCCGAGACCCCGACTTGTTAGGAAAAAGAACAGACCCACTGACCCCAACAAGCATGTCCTACAAGGCCACCAATTAGGGGTTTACTGAAACCGGATGTGTTGGGTCAAAGGGCAATAGATATCACAGTCTATCTGTAAACTGCAACACAATGTACTAACCACCCTTTTAAGTGTGAAAGCAGAAGAAGAATACAGGATAAGTCTCCTTTCATCATCTTCTTAGCTGTCCCCAGCTGTAAACTCCAGCAAAAGTTCTGGTTGTTCATCCACTCCTGGACTTTGGTCTTCATCCAGAACTTGAGTTTTGCATGCATATCCGCCACAGATATAGCTTATTTGTACACAGATTTTTTGTTTCTTGCCTCTCTGGCAGATGCACTTTGTCTCTGAAAAACCAGCCAGTTGCCTCCTAGGACATACTTGTTGGGGGAGTGGCGAGGGGGGGGGGGCGGAGCAGTGGTTCTATCTTTTGTTTTTTAAAATTGAGCCCTAGAACCCATACAGGGAGTTTCCTTTCCTCTTATTCGACTAAATTATCCCTTTCCTTTTCTTCAGACTTTTATGTCCACGGTTGGTTGGACTTTGCAGGTAAAGCTCTGTACAGAATTGGATAGCCAGCCCATGCCAACCTTCCTTAGTTGCTTCTTATGACATGCATGGTAGCTTACACCATTTCTATTAGTTCCTTCCTTAAGCCTCTCGCCTCTGAAGTTCTAAAAGAATTGGTCATGAACTGACTTGAATTCCAGGAAAAAAATCATTAAATAAACATTAAATTTTACACAAGTAACTAATAAATTCACTAACAAGTACCTTGCTATATTTTAAAATCTGTTTCTTCAAAATATAAAGATATATGAAGTGAGTAATCAATCAGCACAAAAAGGTGAAACATTAAATGGAATAATTCTTGTTGCCAAAAAAATATATGTTTTAGGTGACTAACACTACTACCCAGTGACCTCTCTCACTGAGGCTTACGAGATTTGATGTTAGTTTGGCTTTTAAAAAAAGCTAAAGCTATCTGGCTCAAAAGGTCCCCCTCCACCTTCTACCTCATATGCTATTTTTAGTAAATATAGTAATATCCAGACCTTCTACATGTTTGTGCAGGGATAAAAACAGCCAATAACAATATCTATGTGTCTGATACACGGGTCATCATGTACAAGTTGGAAAAGTTGATATTTACGGGGAATTGAGCCTAACCAGAAGTGTCTCTCTGTGGCTTCTCAAGGCAAAAAGGTTAAGGCCATGGTAACACTTGGACAGTTCAGCATACTGGCAAACATAAAATATTTCATTACTCTTGATAGTTTTACAAAGGCAAAATGGGAATACTATTTTATAAATTAATTTGCCGAAATACGACAGTTGTGAAGTAATTTATTTAATATTCAATTTATAAACTGTACAAATATACTTTCAATAAGTCCCAATATAATATGTTTTCTTGTACTGTAATAGCTTTCATTCTTAGTAAAGAAATAATTCACACTTCTTGTAACAGAATATAAGTTGCAGAAATTAGTGCACTATGTTAAAAAAAACAAAACTAATTAATGAAGTACTGCAATGTAGTGCTAATGATGAATTTTAACAAAATTCACAATAATGTGCAGTAATAAGTAAGTACTGAATAAAGTTGTTGATTACGCTAATTTCTCAGTCATTCACATTAAATAATAAACAAACCAGTAAGAAAAAGAAAAGCCGAAAGCCAATAAATAAAGAATATTGGAAACTTATGTAGAACAGTTTATGACGATTTCTTAAATATACAAAAGAAAAAAAAATTTAATATGAGAAGGCTTTAAACTGAAATATTAAAAATGTGATAGAAATTGCAATAGCCATGCCACTGTCTTGTAATCTGTCAATACTGTTAAGGATGTCAAGAGTGTTAAGCATGTGATATCACAGTGAATAAAAACAGTGGCATCACAATGACATTTTAAAGATGGCTGCCACATTTTTCGGCATGCATCAAAAACGAGCAATGTTTTAAGGTTTCCATCTGAAGTCCCTACATAGAAAATGAATGGGTTAAGAACAAAAAAAAAAGTTTTGAAAGCAGCTAAAAAAAAGTAGGTAGGAAGTTGCACCCCACCAGGACATCACACAAGCGATAAACACTTGGTGAAACAAAGTGCCACCTTGCGGATGAGGATCACCCGTGGAAAGGTCCCATAAACCCCTTTTAGCCATTAATGCCATATCTATGGCTAGGCCATAATTATGGCCCGGCTATATTCAGGGCCCCTGGCGAAAGCCAGGGTGGGGCTTCAAGATAAAACAAATTGCATCGCACATGGGGACGACTTGATTGACGTATAAACTAAAAAAGCATATATCTGTAAGATAAATGGCTAACACCCCCTTATAGATTGAGTGGATTCATTTTTTCCTTCAAAGTAAAAGCATATCTGCCAGAGAGACGAGGAACTACCAGCTACACGGTTCTGCTTCTTCTTTGTATTCACTGGACTGGCTATAAGCTCTAAAGGAAAGTCCCAGTGAAATTTTGTTTTTGAACTGGAGTTTTTGTGTGCACATCTGTTTTACAGATCTGGACTATATTTATGTAAACTGTTGGTTTATTGCCTCTCAGGCAGATGCACACTGAGAAGGAAACACCACTAAATAGTCGATTTTTACATCCACATGCTTTGGGTGGTAAATTCCACCTACAAATGGAGCAAAAATACACCAGCCATTGTATGGCAGAAGCAAAAAAGTTTTTGCCGCGGCTTACAACAGTGACCGTGGCTAGCGTCTATTTTGACCGGAAGTCCTGTTTATGCTATAAACAACAGTATGTTACTGTTTGACCATCTACACACTCTGACACCTTTAGTTCCTGAAGAAATTCCTGGTATTCATTTGATAAAGTTTAACTGATCCAAGAGTCAAACACCACGAAAAGAAAATGTCCTAATCCTTTCATTCCGATAAGATGAAATACTGACACTTCCGGTTGGGTCCAACACCCCATAAAAGTAACTTTTCCGACCTGTATTTAGTGACCTGTTTACGTGATATATGGTTAATACTACTGGCAAAGTTTGCACCTGCGCAAAGCATTAGGACTTTAGGATACGAATACATTAACTAACAATAGCACTGGGTGGTTGGGCGGGGTTCCTTTTGAGCTTAATGACTATATTAAAGCCAAGCTGAGGTCAGATTTTATCCTTGACTTTAGTGATAGAGGTCACAGGTCATGACACGAATCATCTAATGTATGTTTTTATTTTTAAAAGACCCTAGGAACATATTTCATTTCATGTTTCATCCTGTTAATGTTTGCTGATTACTCCTTCCATATACATTCACATGTTTTAGGAAATCAAATTTTTTTTTAAAGGAATTTATTAAAGATCTGTGTAAAAATTGCTGTTACCTGTAGATTTCTTTCTGGAATTCTAAAGGGGTCATGACCTTTTCTTTTTAGTGTAAACGGGGCAAAAGGGTTAACTTGAGATTAAACAATAACTTTTGTATCGGCAAGCCAGTGCTTGATTTATGATGCTACCACATCTACTTAACCAACTTGACTGATATTTTTTTTTTTTTTAAAGAAACGTAAATATTTGAGCAATTTAACACCATGACTTTGATTATTTCAGCAGACACCAGCGAAGCACACAGTTAGCAGATATTACATATCATACTTCCAGCTACAGTCACATATAGTTATAGCCACCTCAACCAACTTGCACAGCTCATGATTTAATTTACTTTAAACATTATCACAATACATTCAAATATAATCACAGAACAAAGTATGTTACTATCCTGACTCATTTCCATATCTTCAGGCATTCTGGTCATATAGGGCTAGACCTATATTTTATAGATTAATTGATACTCAGTGGGTGATGTTGTTAACATCACGCCTGCCGCCTCTACTTCTCAGGAATTTGCCCAGCACCTAATTAATGCCGGGTCGACCTGGCAGCTGAGATTATTTTAAAACCACGGCTCTATTCGGACTTGAACCCCAACCCACAACCTCTGGATCTGCAGGCAAGTGTCTAGCTGCTACACCAGAACGGCTCCCAAGGCACATGTGTTTATTAAATAAAAAACATAAATAAAACATTTATGATTCACACAACAAGATCGGCATGAAAAGGTTCTCAGTTATCTAAGAGTTCCAAAATAGCACTATGATCAAAATCCCTTGCAAGGTCCCTAACAGTTGTGCTTCCCATGTTCAAATGAGGGTCTGCCCCATGTCTGAGGAGGCACTCCACTACCTTTGTGTGACCTGTGTAAAATGAAGAAGAGACAGTCAATCCAATAAATAAATCAACAAACAAAAGTAGCATAAACAGGAATTACTATACTATCTTTGTATGACATAAAAAAACACACAACAAAATATTAAACACAAATAAAAGACAAAGCTAACAGGGACAACAACAAATGCCTGAAGAAGTCTGAGGTGTCTGCAGAAAGGCACAAATACCACAGCCGTGCTGTAAACAGGCATACCGCTATTTAATCTCTAGATGATTGAAGAAGTTTTTAAAAAAAAGCTTGTCGCGTATCCTCTACAGTACTGTGCAAAACAAACTTGAGTATTTTGTGGATGTTTATGAATTCACTACACAATTTTTTACACTCAGTAGTTTGCCATTGCTTTCTGACTGATCGACTCTCGATACCAATGTCAAAAACAACACAAGGCGGTCTGCTACCAAACTGCCCACAGCTGGGATTGAACCTGGCAACTTGGATTTATGAAGCATGAACTAAGAAGAAATACAAGTAAAGATAGCATATACAAGGTGGAAATAGCAGTCAAGCAAAGAAGACTTTCATGTAAGACAGTAAGAAACTGGAACATAACAATGTTATGACCACTGGGAAGATCTGTTGAAAGAGAGACAAAGGCAAACATAAGAAGATTTGTGGCAGCCTTTTGGGATGGAATGGTATCAGCACACAGACTGAAACCTGCTGTTGGGAGCTGCAGGTTGTGGAGAGCTATGATTACTCATGCCAGTTGACAAAACACTCGACGATGATTTCTTTCAGTATCAAACAGTAATTACTTTAACTAAGTGATTCCATGAGCATGCTTAAGAAGATAGAATGGATTCAAAGAAAATGGTTGGAGTCACTGAGGAAATCTTATCTGATAGGAATTAAGTTTAATTTTTGTGACAGGACACTATGGGGTAAGAGGGAATGAACAATCGGACTGGCTTGCTGGCAGGGCCACGGTAGGTACAGGAAAAGTAATGGACCGGGCCGACATTCTTAATGCTCTCCAGGAGTCAGGACAAGAAGATGATTCAGGAGACGACGTCGAATCGGCAACACTCAAAGACTACAATAACTTCAGGTCAAAAGAGGTGTCGCCAAACATGAACACTATGCAGGTAGCCAAAGAAAAATACTAAACCAACATAGAACTGGTGTTATCAGTTGCCTCACGCTGAGAGATTTACAGAAAATGGGATCAGAGAGCTTATGGAATTGTCCGATGTGAAGTGAGGATAATCTGTCAATTAACTAACCAATGAACTACTTTAACTCAATCTACTCAAGTAAATATAAATGAATCACTTTTGGGCGTGGCCAAAACCTCAAAGCACCTCTAGTGGTGCAGCTTATATAATGACTGGGTTCCCAGTCCGGCTAACGTTACAATGACTGTTATATCCTTCCTTCCTTTCTTCCTTCTATTTTTACTCTCAAGTGTCTCAAATACCATAAAATGTATGCAGAAAGGGATTGTAATGTAAAACATTCAGTTAGTTAAATTTACTGCAATGTATAAGAATCAATTAGGTAGCTACCTTCCTCTCTTCTCAGCATTCACCTAGCTGTTAAATGTAGCGGAAAGTTCTAGCTGTTCATCCACTTTTGGACTTTGGTCTTGTTTCAGAGCTTTAGTTCTGTGTGCACATCCATTTTACAGATCTGGCTTATTTATAAGCAGAATGTTATTTCCTTGCCTCTCAAGCAGATGCACTCCAACTTCCAAGGAAACTCTCTGATACAAGATGTATACTTTACAGTGTTGAAAAACCAAAATTACATGCACTGAAAATACATATATTTCTTTCAAAACATCCTATATATCAGACAGAAATCACATTTACTGACCATGCATGACAGCAAGGTGCAGTGGTGTGGCGTTTTCACACTGCGGGTTTTTGCAGTTCAAGTCAATACTCTCACAGTGACACAAGAGATCCACAATGGCCAGGGTCCCACTGTTTGAGGCTGCATGGAGAGCTGTGTTCCCTGTGTCTGAAGGCTTGTTGATGCATACAACAATGGGATCCTACAGAAAGGGATAAAAACACATTCATTAAAAAGCTGGCCAACCAAAATGCTGCATTAGGAATTGACATCTCAGCACTGGGGACAATCTCATAAGCATTCTGTTCCCATCTTCAGCAGTAAGCGCAGAGTTCTGATTTGGATGGCACCAGAAACAGTCTGATTGTATATAGGCCTAGCCTTTTCTTTGAGTGTGGCCTGAACTGCTGGTCACTACTCACAGCATCATTATCCTCAGTCATGATGACCTATTTCTGCCTGTGCACTATTCACGTGCTCCCAAAAGACCCTAACATCATTAAACTTACCATGCATCAGTTCACCACCAAGAGATGCAGAACCAGCCAGTCTATCTGCCCACTGATGTCCCAATTCCTGAGCATGATCTAGAGAAGATACCCAAAGGACGCTAACCATCCAGGACCCCAGAAGCTATGCTTGCCACTCTGCACCGAGCATACCTTCTTTAACATGCTGTGGGAGTCAGTTATAATTATGACCAAAATAAGGGAAATTATACCAACACACCAAATTGGAAAACAGTTTAAAACTAAGTGTTGGCTGCCCTAATATAGCTGTCTTATTTGGTACAATGGGGATTTCTGGGGTTTGATACTGCTGGATCCTCATCTGAAAAGTGGCTCTTTCAGCCTTTCTTCTACTGTCACCATAGTCATCAAAATTTCTCTCAGACTCTTTCTTAGTAACTGTCGACAACATGTTACCCTAATTTCCTTTTGTTCACGTGTTAGAAGGCATGGAATCCAGCAGACACACACTTTCCCCTTGGTTCAGTTGTGTAAACTTCTAGCAACTGTACTTCTACTCAGCTTAATGGCCCTAGAATCCCTAACAGTTACTTTACAATCTTAGTTAATGATTTTCTTCACTTTATCTGCATTTTCACAAGGTGCATTTTGATGACGGTCTTCCGCATCTTGGCATATCCACACAAAAAGCATTTTAGCATATGAAAGACAAGATTTCCGAAATACTGGTTTTATCTTCCTGTGTATTTCTACTGGTGTTTTACCCTGCAACATCAGACATTTTATCACAGCTTTGGCATTTGATGGCTTCATTAGTGGTTAATAATTTACGCAGTAGATCCGGTCAACAGGGTGTACCGCGCTGTGCACCATAACATCAAAATCTGTCAAAGGATCAAGATTAAACTTCTCACATTTAATTTTAATAAAATGAGCTATTCCTTGGATGGTGGGGAATGCTCACATTCTTCCCCTGCCTTCTCTTGAGGCTGATCATCATTATGTGGCTTCTCTGGACTGGCTGATGTGTGGCACCACCTGTCACCTGGGAAACAAAGATGACCACACAACATTAAGACTGCAATGTCCCACGAAACTAACCGAGAAGGCTGACCCGGTTAACAAATGCCCGAAGAAGCAGGATGTGTTGGCCAAAAGGTGCAAATATCGCAGCAATGCTGTAAACGGGAACAACACAATTACATCTTCGGGTGAACGCAGAAGAAGAGGATATGTGAGCTATAAATGTGTGTGCTTCAAATTTTCCTGTTACTCCATCACAGTCAGGGTATAAAGACTTAGGGATCACACCTCACAAAATGAGCTTTTCCTTAAAGATGTGATGCTGAATTATTGGATTACCCAGATGAATTATCTCAGACCATCTAGTATTATTTTTCTGTCCATCTTTTCCACTCTTGAACCTTCGAGTCATCACAATGTTCTGCTGATCTTTCTGCCCAAGAGAAAATTATCTACCTCTCTCCTTCTCATCACCAAAGAATATATTTGCACAGTTTCCTACTTTCACTAGCTTCTTCTATGCAATAGCTGTTAGTTATCCTGGCTATAAAAAAAAATTCATAACTGATAATAACAAAAATAAAAACACTTGTAAAAGCAAATTAATGATTAGAGGATTTCTATCATGGCAAGCACAATTTAATTTTCTAACAAATTATATTTAGGTTTAGGTTTAAACAAGGAATCAACGTCATGGCACAAGGGTAGTAACCCATGTGCTCTGTTCTACTTCTAACCCAACTCCGAGTCCGAAGAATCTCAGTGCAGTGCATGAACTCTGTAGCACCGGTGAAGATCCTGTAATACTTTGGGTAGACGTTAACTCTAAATTGTGTCTGTGCAGTGCCGTTAGGCTACTCTTTTCGATTCCAACAGCCAGGAAACTGGGGAGGGGTCTACGATCTTACTACCCAGAAAACAGGGGAAATTACTAGAAGTCCATGTGAATAAAAACCCAGCCTTCACCGGGGACTCCAGCACTCGAGGCGGACGCCATGCCCCAAAACAACTCAGCCCCCTGAAGTTGATGTCATTTAGATGAATAGTTGGCCAAACAGTTAAGAAAGCAGGGTTCTCATGCTGGAAACCTGTGTTCGTATCCTTTGTAAGGTTTGGGATTTTCTTTTCTGCATGCAGTATCAGATGAAGCCACTGTTTCTGTATGTACCCTGCATTCATCTTATATTTTTAAGCCAGTCCTGAGATAATTAGTTACATCAGGGCTTTTTCCCCTAGAGAAAAGGGTGCCAGTATTCATACAAAGTGTTTAAAAAAACATTAAAAACATAAAAGGTACTATTATTCACCCCAAATGTTCCATTACAATAGCGCTGGAAAAAAAAAATGCCACGTAAAAAGGTGACAGTACTACATACCTATGTGCACCACCCGTAAAAAAAGTCCCTGAGTTACAACATCACAAAGTGACATAACTTATAAAAACCATACTGAAGCGAAAAGTTAAATGCAGGTAGACAAGAGAAGAGATGGTCAGTGATACAAGTGGGAGAGTAACATCAAAAAGATACAAATCAGTCTCAAAGAGTATACAACTATGATGACAATGTGTGTTGGAGATCCGCTGCAGCGAACCTTTACCACCAAGATGGCAGGTGATTGACTGAGACACTGACATCTTACGAAGGTAAAGAGGCAATGAACAGCTTCTGTTTATTATGCATGACAGCTGTGAAAAAGAGCAGCAGCTGATTGACAGTGACAAGCAACATTTTACCAAGGTCAAGAGGTAACGAACAGCTTCCGTTTGATTATGCATGACAGCTGTGAAAAAGAGCAGCAGCTGATTGACAGTGACAAGCAACATCTTACCAAGGTCAAGAGGTAACGAACAGCTTCCGTTTGATTATGCATGACAGCTATGAACAAGAGTGATCTTCTGTGGGAGTCACAGTATAAAGGGCTCACATGTCCACTTGTGATCAGGTAGTTGATAACGTCTGTGTAACCCAGCCTAGAAATTAAAACAAAATATACATCTACTTGTTTTATTTATCAAAAAGATACACATTGCGTATTTCTTGTATACAGTGGCAGAAAAAATATAATAGCTTTTTCTTCTTCTTAGGATGCTCCCTGCAAGTGGTTTTCAAATGAAAACGCCACAGGCCTTTATGAGGTCGGTGTTGAGACGCATGTCTTCCACTGATCCATACAACCTGGCTTCTATTAGAATATCAATAATTATTACAAATGAGAGGAGATTTCTAAAAAGAACACTTTACATAGTTAAAGGAAAGAGAGAGAGAGAATTACCGCAAAAAAACCAACATGATATACAACAATATTAGTTACATGCAAACGAGTGGCTAGAATATGATGAAACTTGGAGACATTGTAGAAAATAGGCTTACCTTTTATCTAGCGCCAATATTCCACCTTTGTGTGCGAATTCACTCATCATGATCAACTTTGTTTCACAAAGTGAATACCAGATGTTGCCGTTTGATGGACACACCCCCTCCTCCTACTATCGATCTATTTCAAGATTGATAATTTTCAAGATTTTCCTCATCATTCGCGCTCTCACTGACAGTGTCACTTCAAGAACGTATTCTTTATGAAATTATCACAGATAATGAATATATATATATCACAGAGTGATACCAAAGTATCGATCAACTGTTGGACTGTGAAAAGCCTAGAACTTGGTTCATCAGCCGCTCGTTTCAATGTGAATTTTCAGAATTTTTCCACGTAAAACAACACAAATATAATCCAAACACATGCAGGCAGAAATTTGCAATGTCTAACAAAGAGGATTGATAACGATTGGGTGGTTATTTTTAGTCCGTGACGCATCGTTTTTCCATACTAGGCAAAAAGCCTAAAATTAGCGCCAGCGGTATACAGACAGGTTAATAAATCCCCGGTAAACCGGGCCAGTGGTCTGGTAGGGTTAAAGCTTAAAAAAAATGGCCAATAATGAGCACTGTTGCATACCACTAGAAAAAAGCCCTGGGTATAAGTGTCTAGACAGGAAGAGATATCCTAAACAATGAAGAACAGAAGAAAAATAAAAAAAATAAAAATTATATACCCTCAACATAAATTAATAGACAAGAGAAAGGAAAAATGTTGTCAACACTGAAGACTGTACAACTTTTGTACCATTGTCAGAAAAGTAAGCCATAAAAATGGTTTAAACAAAAAAAAAATATGTGTACATGCTCATCCACACATAAATAAACAATTTTTTAAACAAAAAACTTACTGGCAAGAGAAAATATAAGCACATAACATAAGACATGAATACACACATTTTTTCCCACACAGTTTCAAAAGACAAAGCTCCACATAAACAAACCTGATTGCCTGTAGCATTCTTCTGTGTGGTATAATCTCTCTGGTAGAGCATAAGTCTAAAATTGGCATCCCTTGTGTTGTCCCTACCAAATTTCTATAGAAGTTCACCACTGCTGACCACACGCTGACTAGTGCAAAACAGCGTGTGGCCAAAAGCCACTGGGCGTACTGGCGATTGGATGTTGAGCAGTGAGCATCTGACAGTAACTTCTTGTACCTGTCTTGCTTTTCAGAAGACATAATATCTAAATAATCTAAAAACACACAAGACCCATTCTGAGCCAACAGCTTCACTGGAAACTCCTTAAACACTGCCTCACAAAGTTCTGAAATATCCTTCCTCACAACTTTCCTGCTTTCCTTTCCAACAGCAAATGCTAAAGAAATTTCCTCCAGCAAAATTTCATATTCCATCGAAAAAATTTCTCTCCTTTGTATATCCTGGAATTCAGACAACCAAAAGTGGGCAAACTGGACAAAGTTGTCTCCCTTACTGAAAAACTTGGAAAGTTCTTGGATGGATGCATTTGATCGTGTCAACCAGTTGCTTACAAGAGTTGCATCCATATAAGGAAGTATATCATCAAAATTTATTTTCTTTTCTGACTCATTAAGCCCATTTACTTGTATGGGCTTATTTAGATTTGTGGTTCTATTCTGGTTAACTTCGATCAAACTATTGTGAAGTCCTTGAACTGGCAGCAATATTGGTGATTGAGGAAGTTCATGTCTAGAAGATATCAATGATGAGTTATTTCCTTTCTTTTTCCTTCTTTTCTTGGCTGATTTTGTAATTTTAGACTTTCCTGCTAATGACGCTTTGCTCAATGACTCTTCATTTGCTGATGATTCGCTAAGTAACTTTTCACTTGAATTTGTGTGGTGCAGCATGTTTTCACTTGAATTTGTGTGGTGCAGCATGTTTTCACTTGAATTTGTGTGGTGCAGCATGTTTTCACTTGAATTTGTGTGGTGCAGCATGTCTCTGTCAGTCAAGATCTCCCCTGACAGATTCAAAGTATTTGAACAACAGATGCCTGATGATTCATTTATGATGCACCCAGAGTCAGGTGAAACAATACGAGCATCCCGTGCGAAGCACTGCGAGCATTCAGACTCTGAAGATGCATGCTCAGTGCAGAAAGACAGTCTAGAAAACTCTGGTAGAACCTTTTCATCATCTTCTGAACATGTTTCATCTTCTTGATAACTCGACCGTGAGATGCATATCAGATCTCGAAGATCCCGCACTCCTCTACTCATGGTATTCTATCCTTGGCAAATATTCTTTCTTTCAAAAAAAAAAATATGTACAAACAAGCTCATAATCAGTTGTTGGTGACCAGCACAATTTGTAATGCTGAGTAAAACAAAATGACTTCTTTAAATTCCACACAACTGATTAAGCATTATTTTAATCATCATCATCATCATCATCAGCATCATTAGGTCCAATGTCTCCAATGACAATCTCAACACTCAATCTTACATCAGATGCTAAAAATATCAACGTGAGATAAGCCGGAAGTCTAATTCTTGACAGCCATGCAAGGCGAAACAAAAAAGACAAGGTTTTTGAGAGGCATTTGGAGAAATCAGAACACAGAGTTGAAATGTTAGATGTTTCTTCCATTCCCTTCAGTGGCATCCATAACCTAGAGAAGAGACAATGAATTATGATCAAGGTAAAATAACTAATAAAGTATATGTTAAAGATATATAAAATCTAAAGTAAATAGTTTTAACAAAAAAAAGTAAATTTATTAATCACTATTGTGGAGCTTTGGAGAAAATTAAAATTCAAGCAAATCCAGAGACAAGGAATGATGGCACTGAATATGACATATATTGAGAGAATCAGTTAATAGTGTGACTAGAATGCATTTTTACTGGAACACACAGGGCAATTAAGATAGAAGGTGACTAAAAAAAAAAAACAGAAGAGAATTAAAGACTGACAGAAATAAAATAAGCAGGACACAATGACAGCTGCAAAAGAACAGGATCCTTTTCACACCAGTGGTGCATTGGGCATATGATACTAGACTCATATTTTCATAGACCAATTAGCCAGCAGCTACATAAGCAATAGGATGTTCGCAAAAAATTGATCAACAACATTAAAGACATTCTACACCTTTAAAGGTAAAGGTAAAGTTGGGAGAAGTGAACCAGCGTCATTGCATACGGTTATAAACCTTAAGTGCTCTGCCACCAGTATGGATAGCCGATAAGAAACTGTCCGCCTGTGTCGCCCTTCACACGTAACTCTGTAGCTACAGCAACGTTCCTCCATTTACCCCAGAGTGTCACTCTTTCTCTACATTTTTATAGCATGTCAGCGGCAGCCAACGTACACTTAATCGCCAAATTATTTCTCCCCATGACACTTAAGGGCAGATGTGGTTTATGAAGATGATGATTAACTGGCCATCAATGGGTGATATGGTTATTATGCTGCCTACATTATCTTCCCAGGTCATTACCTAGTACCCTTTTGGGTTGGGTCAACCTGCGAGCCAAGGTTATTTTTTTGTTTTGAGAAAAAAAAACAGTGTCAAGTGAAGGAGCTATCTGATATTCATCTGAAAGTTTCTCTTAAACCTAACCTACTGTACAAATTGCCTTAACTGTATTTACATATTACTAAGTGATTTATATTCATTAGTGATTTATTTTGAGCATCAAGAAGGTAAGTGATAAAATTTCACTTTACGAACTTCTCTAAGCATGCTATCTATTTGCTTACTAATATTTTACTATTAACACAATTATGTTTGTGACAGCATATATATATCATCCTGAACATTTTCTGATAACTTTGATGTATAAATAAATAAGATATGTTGCACATCCGCTGTGGTAAAGCGGGTAGATGCTAGGGTTCGGGTTCTGACAGAGCCAGGACCTTTTCTTTTCCATGACCTTGGCTTCCAGCTTTGAGGAGGTGATAGGTACAGGTTTGGGAAGTAAAGGCGGCCAGCATTATGCCGACCACATCACCCATCAAGTGCCGTTTGGTTTATATAATATAGGTACTGAGGTAGAGCCTTATATGCCCAATGCGCCTGATGGTGTGTAAAAGGGTCCTTTACTTTACATCAGATGTATTTGCACATTTGGCTCTCCTTCGATCTTCCCCCACATATTATGACAGCCAAACAAATACTTTAACAGGGCCTCAGTCATGTGTACAATGCGGACTTCCTGTGATGAATACATCACGGCAAAACTAGGATTACTTGACAATTTCAAGACACTCAACACTGCAGATGAGTAGCAGATGATAAAAGCAACAGTTGACCATTTCGAGCATTTCTGCAGACGATAATAGTGACCACTGACAATTTCGAGGCACGCAACATTACAGACGATAATAGTGACATGGCAGGGAGACCACATGCTCCGACGCAGATTAGTATTGTTGTTGCCCTCACACTTTTGGGCATGCGCAAAACGCAGTTAAACTGACCGCCGAATGGGGATCTAAACTAGATGCCTGGTACTCACAAGCAAATAAATTAGAGGAAGTTGCAGGAGATGTGGTAGCTGCTGCTCGTGAGTCCTAGCCATCTAGTTTAGCCCCAATCTGCGCCCCACATAGCGGCAGAAGCAGGTCCGCAGTTAACATATCGCTGAGACCCTGTTAGAGCATTTGTTTGCCCTCGATAATATTGGCCTGTTATTCATAGCCGATCCTAGTTTTGCCCGATTTGTTCCTCAGCAGGAACTCCGCATTTTGCATAGGACTGAGGCCCAATTAGGGTATTAGTTTGGCCGCCATAATTTGTGTGGAAAGATCGAAGGAGAGCCGCAAATTCTTTTTTTTTAATGAGTTATATGTGGAAAACTTCAAAATTAGTATTACTACCCCCTGATGATCTGGTAATAAACCCTAAAATACGAACGGATATTGGGCTCTTCTTTGCTGAGACGGCTTAGTTCAGTTTTAGTGGGAGTTCTCTCCTTGGCCGCACTGCAAACAGTGAGCGGAAAAGTCCACGAAACAAATGACATACTTAGCTATCATCATATGGTTGGTGTAGGTTTGCGTACGGTTGCGTGTAGGGTTGCTCACCATACGGTTTGAAGGTTGCGTGGTCATCATACGGTTACCTATCATGCATTTGCGTGTAGGGGTACTTTGCGTGGGTGTCTATCATCATACTGTTGCGTGTATGTCATCAAACGGTTGCCGTGTAGGGTTGCTTAGTTATCATACGGTTGCGTGAAGGGTTGCATGGTCATCATACGGTTGCGTGAAACGTTACCTATCATCATACGGTTGCGTGTAGGGTTGCGTAGGGCGTCTAAAATAGAGTTAGGGGTAGGGTTAGATGGAAATTGACGCTTTCAACGTCGCAAACTTAAGTATTATCTCGAGGTACGTAGTCCACCAGACCAACTTCATCTCGTCGCGTAATACACAACAAACAATCGAAGGCCTGTGGATGCTATACGACAATTCGGATTGAGCACCAGGCGGTATTTGGCAGTCAGTGGCGCCCACTCCCACAAGCATCAGATTGTCGGCCAGTATTTGGAACTCCTAGTTAAAATTTTCATATCTAACCCTGCTCACACTGACCCCTAACCATACCCTATTTAGTACGCAACCGTATGATGATAGGCAACCCTACACGCAACAGTATGATGACTGCAACCCTTCAAACGTATGATGACTAAGCCAACTACTTGAAAAGACTACGCAACCCTACACGCAACCGTAAATGATAGCTTAGTATTGATTTGTTTCGTGGAGTTGCTCACTTGTTTGAGTGGCCAAGGTAAAGAACTCCCACTAAAGTATGCCGTCCATGCGTCCGGGAAAAGAGAGCCAAGAATTGCTATCCCATTTAATAGCAACTTTAATCTGCAAAAGTCAACCAACTCTTGAAAAGACTATAAAGAGCTTGGAGGTAGTTGACTGAGGAGGTAGTATGGTCCATTCCAAAAGAAGAAGGAGGCGAAAAGGCAGTAGGAGGATTGATTGAGGATTTATTAGAAAACATAGTTTAGAGAATGAATTCATGAAACACGTAAGATAATGATATCATATTTCATTAAGGTTCCCTTTGCGAGAAAATTAGCTTACTATTAAATTTCACTTTTAAAAACAAACATCGCAAATACATATAAGATTTTCAATAGTTGCCAAATAATGCTGACCATGCTGTCTTGCAAAAAATTAACCATTCAGCAAAGAAGCTTCACAGATGTTTTGACTTTGTTAGGATGTCGCCATGACGGATTCAAGTAAGTCAAAATTTTACCCGGGAGATTTCTTCGAATTAAACAATTGAATTAACGAATCAATCGTGTGATACCCATAAAGTTAGTAATAATAATATCGTTTTATACATAAATAAATAACCCTTCTTATTTATAAAATGTTTTATCTGACATACTGTAGGTTCTTGAGAGGTATGTACTTTTACTGGTCGCTTCTGCGCAAAGTACATTTTCGTTTTATCTAGTCATATCTGCTGCAGTCAAGATTTTTCTAGCTCACATATACCGTCGATGATATTCAATTTTTGTCACCTTATACCTCCCCCTTCTTCTTTCTCTCCTCATTCAGCTTCTACTTCATCCACTTCTCTCAAACATTTTCCAGTTTTTCTTCCTCTTTCTGTCAGTATTTTTCTTTTCTTTTCCTCTTCCTCTCCCTCTCCTCCTTCTACTACTACTGCTGCTGCTGCTACTACTAATACTACTACTACTACTACTCCTAATACTGCTGCTGCTGCTGCTACTACTACTGGTACTGCTGTTGTTGCTTCTACTACTTTATCCTCCTCATTATCAATGCTGTTCAAGTAATGCTTACACAAGAAGTCGAAGTGTAATGTATGTTCAGTTTTTCAGAGCTCGATGAGAGATCATTAAATTTACAATACAGACTACACATCTCTTTTATGTCTGTAGTTTCCTATACTTTTTTGTTTTTACGAAACTTACCAGTTGTCTCAATGTATTTCCGTGTTCTGAACTTAAGGCATCGAAACAGCATGTTTGCTGTATCCTTGTAACGACCAATGATTGTTGTTGTTGTTTTTTTTTTTTTTTTTGGACAAAGGTGCCGGTACTCATCACAAGGTGTCGAAAAAAGAGTGCCGGTAATCACCAAAAGGTGATTTAAACAAATTTTCCATGGCGAGTGTGCGTGGCATCCTGACTGCTGTAGTGCGCCTCCGACTTCAGCACCTTGTTTTGCAAGGGTAGACTGTGGTCATACTCGAGGAGAGTAGGCTCATCCCTTT